ACATTTTTGTATCAGTCTATGTTATACCATTTATTGCCAGTGGCTTTGCTTATGTTATTTTTTTAATTTCGTTTATACTTTGAATATGACGGATTTATATACAACTGTTCATTCCTTATTTTATTCCCTTAGGAGTGAGATCCAAACCCAGACTCAGAACAACATTTTGTGGATCACACAAAGTGTCGTCCCATGTGGGGATCGGACCCACAGCACTTAGGGAAATAGTAAGCGGCTTGGCGACCGCTTAAACCACTACGCCATCCGTGCAGTTGTACCCATCGGTTTTGGCTCTGTTTGTAAAAGCTTATCTATCATAGTCCAAAAAAGTTTAGATACAGAGATTTTATCATCTACCCACACGTTTGGAGTAAAATCCCTATCAAAACTGACAGCATGTGACCACAGTCAATGAAATCTGATCCAAAGTCATTTAATTTAAAAGTATGTTATAAATATCGACCGGGTTCACCCCCATATTTTGTGTTTCTAACTTTAAGATGAACTGCCATATAACCGTGCATTCCCTTTTTACTCCTTAGGAGTGAAATTGCCAAAAAGACTTTCTTAGTGGGTTTTTACAACGTAAAGCATCAGCTGCCCAAATTTCAAGTTTGTAGCCCCAGCGGTAAACCGCTGGGTTTCCAGTTCCGGTTCATCAACGCCTAAAGGCTCTGCGTTGATGAATCAGTCTGTCAACAACAACAACAACAACAGCCTTTAATAATCCACTGCTGGACATAGGCCTCTCCTTAGAAAGGAGGTTTTGGCCTACTATACCACGCTGGCCAGACGGGTTGGTATAGGGTTTTTTTTCAAGTTTTCCTTCTCTTTGCAGTGCTGTTGTCCTGCGTAGTTTGCTCCCTTAGTCGCCTCTTGCGACACCCACGGGCTGGGGGGGGTGACACTCTGTATTCTTAATCCAAGGGCGAGTAATTTTAATAACCGACTTCAAAAAGGAGGAGGTTATCAATTTGGATGTTTAAATATATTTTTTTGTATGTTCGGTATAACTCCGTTACATATAGACGGATTTTCCAAATTCTTTTTTGTTCGAAAGAGGTTCATGCCGAAAAGGTCAAATTTAAATTTCACATAGATCTGATGATTATTTACGGAGACAGACGAAACGGTTCCATATTCGAATGAGAATGTGTGGCAATAACTTACGCCACCACAACGACCATGTCAAGCGGTATCAAGGACTATAACATCCGAATACAATCCGAGAGCATGGCCGTCCTAAAAGCACTGGAGGGCAACACAATGACCTCTGGTATTGTCCTCGAATGCCATCAAGCATTGGAGCAGCTTGCCACATTAAATGTGGTACTCCTCCAATAGATTAAAGGGCTCGGTAACTCACACGGAAACAATGCCGCAGATGAGTTGGCAAGGAGGGGCTCGGCAACCCCCGCTACCAACCATACTCTTTAACCAAACACGATTCTGGGCCAGGCAACGGACTCGTGAAGCACACAACCGGAGGTGGAAAAACTCACCCGGTTGCAGACAATCCAAACTAGTGATGACTCAAGTCACACCATGGCTCACCTGCAGATTGATTAGTCTTAGCAGACTGGAAATCCGAATAGTTTTCGATACTATAACAGGACACCTAGCCCTGAACCGACACCTATTCAGCCAGTCAGTCAGTGCAGGGGATGTCTGGAAGCAGAGGAAACGGCCGCCGAATGCGAGGGAGTGGCCACACAATGGGCAAGTATCATTCCTGAGACAAAATCGCTCCTAGAAGGCTGTGAACGCCCCAGGAGGCTTCTGCGCTTCTGTAAGGAGCTTGGTTGGCTCACCTAGCTAACCAATCCTCAACGCATAAAGGACCACTCTTGAGTCTAAATGCGGAAACCGAAGCCCACAACCAATACCAATACCAATAGTATTGTTTGAAGTCGGCTCACCTTTTTTTTGAAGAAGGTTTTTTACTATTGTATATACAGATTTTAGTAATAATGTCAAATAAACAGTTACGAGCTATATAAGAAATGAGTAAGGTTAGACGTTATTCTACATAGGCCAGAGTAAGCAATATTGAACCAGCGCTTAAATTACACCACTTCTGTATTTCTACTAAAATGGCACTATTTGGTATACTATAGCAAATAGTGCCATTTTTGGCATTGCCACAAAAAGGAGAGCTACAAAATAGCGGAGTATTGGTGGCGCTGCTAGCGCTCCTTTTTGTGTTGCTAGTGTAAAAAATGTGCCATTTTGATATAAATACATGAAAAAAAATATCGTTATTTTTCGTAGTTTTCACATAAAAAAATATAACAGCCAGACCGGCACTGCCTTGGTCTGCGCCTCTCAAAAGGAATCGTTTTTCACAGTTTTTGCAACATTTTTCAATGCTGCACGACTCCTGTCGTCGCGTGTCGTGTCGTAGCGTGATGTTATATAGTCTTCATCGATAAATGAGCTATCCAATAATAACAGAATTTTTCAATTTGAACCAGTAGTTCCTGAGATTAGCGCGTTCAACCAAACAAATAAACTCATCAGCTTTATATTACTAGTACCTAGAGAGTAAGTTAAAATCTAAATACTGTTGTAAAACATCACTCCAATTTGTGAATCCCACAAAGTGTGGTAGTGAGTAAACCACTACGCCATCCGTGCAGTCAACTAAAGTTGTTGCAACTCAGAAGTAATGTAGCTGATATTTGTTTTAATTTTTATCTTTACGAAGACATTTACACAAACTATACAAATAAAAACATCTTGCCACATTAATTTATAACATTTATTTTTGTTACTTACAAAAATAAATGTTCGATTTCTTACATTTATTTTTACTAAGTAACAAAAATAAATGTTAGAAATTGGTATAAGGCCTACCCAGTGTGTCACGACTACTCATAAGTGGCTCTACTTCGTTGCTTCGTGATTTGTGTGCCAATTGCGTAAAAGTGACTTTCTACTTAGGGACGACGAGAGACATAGGGTCGGGGTGGGTGGCAGAGAAAAAGTGTTTTTTTGTCAACGCATATGATGGCGGTGAAATTTTTTATTAATAACTATTGGTGTACTTTAAAACAAGCTGATTGTTCTACTTTTAAGCACAGTAGCTAAGAATATTGACAAGCTTAGTGGTTAGTGACCCTAATTGCTAAAGGTCGTGGATTCGATTCGATTCCCACTCAAGACAAAAAATTGTGTGATGCACAATCATTTGTTCTATATTTGCGTGTGATTTATCAATAATATATATGTTATTAGAAATATATAAGTATGTTTATCAGAAGTCTGGTTACCATAGTACAGGTTATGCCTAGTTTGGGATCAGACTGCAGTGTGTTAGTTTGCAAAGTTGTTATTAATTAATATTAGATGTGATTGGCAATGATTTTTTTAAATTGATAAATTGAAATAGGCTTTTGTCTTAGAACACACCTGATGGAAAGTGGCGGTGGAGACGTAGATGGCACAAAACTACCCTAGAGAAAATTGTTTACTCTAGTTTTGAATTATTCAAATTTTCTGGAAAATAGTAGCGCGAATTCCTTCCAGACCTTTGCACATAATTTTTAAACACTTAATATTAAATCAACAAAAACCCTTAGCTGTTAAAAATGTTGAATAAAGCCCAAGCGCCCAACCGGCTTCATTAAGAACTTGACGAGGTGCAATCAGCAGTTCCCTAAATTACTGGAGATTGTATTTAAATATTCACATAATTATATTTTTATTTACTTATCTATATCTACAAAAGTAACAACTGACAGAATTATTCATTGACTGATTGATCAATACACAGTTGAAATCGCTGCGTCTAGAATCATGAAATTTTGCACAAATATTCCTTAAGTGACATAGGAGTGCACTAATAATAAATTTGTATAAATTCCATCTCTAAGGGTGCAAAATTGGGGTTGAAAATTTATGTGAAGCTTCATTATTTTTAGTAGAAGCGTTTTCAAACTTACGGTTAATACTCTTTATTAAAAATATTAAAAACGATACTACTATTTTTTTTAAACCACCCCTAAAGAGGTTTTTATAAAGAAATATTATCATAATAACCTTAAGATGAATGTTTAGCAACGAATGCTGTTCGATCAGTGAGTTAATAATGTCAGCCAGTTTGGTTGAAACTTCTTTAATAATTTACTTATAATCTTAATACATTGTATCTTCTACAATGTCTGATGTCGACCCTTAGGTGGTGTAGAAGCCCGGGGTGGCGGCGAGCGCGTTGCGAAGCGCGCTCGCCTCCAGGGAGCACAGGGAACACGGGGTTCCCACACGGGGGGGGGTCGTCTACTCGTCTGTAGATGACCCGAGGTCTGTCGGGGCACCAGGGACTTCCTTTCTAGGGTATACCTGGTTCCCCGGCTTAATAGCTATATACTAATGTACCCGAGACGGCGTGCGGTCTTAGTCGGTTCGAGTCCGACATGCCACCGATAGGTGGTATCCGAGGGGATTTCCGCACGAAAAAAGAAAAAAAAAGAAAGAAGAAAATGGTGGTGTAGAAGCCGTGTAAGATAGCACAGAGGTTACAAAAGTAATCAACTGAAATATACACTACATACATAAATATACTATACACAAATACATTCATATTTACATATTATACACATAAAATACACACATACACAGGTACATAATTACATTATGTTATTTGGTGTACCATCGATCAGATGATAAAGCTACAGGTATTTTACATTATATGTGTTGTAATGCCTAGACTTTGAAATCGACATTATGACTCGTAATATGTGTTGCAATGTAAATGAACACCTATATTTAAAAAATCGTTCTCCTTAGTAAAATTTATTTTTCACCCACTAGTGAAATCAAGTATTTGGCGGTTGTACACAAAGCTTAAAATTCATTTACACCTATCTGTAACACCTTATATAATGAACAAATATTATCAAAAGGATTTGGATTGTCAAAAGAACCGACCCCGGATAAGTTCTTTAGGAAGTTTTCGTGTCGAAATTACTTCTTTTAAACGGTAAAAGATTTGAAACAATATGCTTTTCTCACAGTTAGTTAGTCAAATTATTTTCTTTCAGCTCAACACTTAAGACTGTACACAGTATATGCTCCTGATGTACTCTACGCTTCCTTGGTAATCGGCTAAAAAAATATCATTACTGTAAAAATTTCAAAATTTCAATTTGCGATGATCGAAGTATCGACTATCTACATATAGGCAGTAACAGTCGTAATGTTAATCGCAAAACCATTAATTTGACCATCCACCATAGTTCGTATGGATCTCAAATGTTTAAACATTCTAAAATATGCAAGTTAAGAAATTTTATCGACAGCAAATTATTAATAATAATAATCATGACTGCATGGATGGCGTAGTGATTTAAGCGGCCACCACGCCGCTTCCTACTACGCCGAGTGTTGTGGGTTCTAACCCCACATGGGACGACACTTTGTGTGATCCACAAATTGTTGTTCTGAGTCTGGGTGTTCTTTGTGTCCGTTTCAAGTCCCCCGCGACACAGGATGTATTCCTAATGCGGGAGTTGTCTTTTAAATTAAAAAAAATAATCGTACAATAAATAATTTTAATGTAGTCCGTATTAATAATCGTTAACATTTCTTTAATAACAAAATAAGGAATGAAATACCTATCTAAAATAATTTTATTCAATATTTTATAAAAAATATTCATTCATTCATTCGTTCAATGTCTAAGTGTAAAGTAAAATGTTAAATAGCCGCCTTTTCCTGAAGTTAACCAACTTTGTTATTTCATATAAATCACTTAAGTTTTATTTCTTGTTCACAGCAAATATTTGGATCCAGGATATTTCCCATTACAAAGATCTCAGACCTGCTGACTGGACAAGGCCCACCTTTCGATATTGCTCTGGCTAATCACCTTTATGCTCCTGTATCCGTGTATAATACTAAGGTAAGAATTTATTTCATGGCATCAGGGGCAAATGAGCTGACTGCTCACTTGATGTTAAGTGACCACCCCACTCATTGGCACTTGCTTGGCAAAATTAGCTGATGAGGTTGGTTGGGCCTCTAGTTATGTTACTCACTCGGTGATAGCCTTGGTTCGGCCAAAGGGTTATGCGCACTTCGTCCCATTCGCACTTCGTCTCAAGAAAGCAATGCAATATTTGCTTAACACCGGTTTTCTATAAAGTGGTTGAGTAACTCCGGTTCAAACGGTCCATAATTCCGAAACATGGCATTAGAATTGTAAATACATAAGTAAAGAAAAACATTTAAACATTTGACTGCTTCAGTGGTGTAGTGGTATCGTATGCGACTGCTGTGCTGTTTTGGGTTCGATCCCCGGGTCGGACCAAATGTTTGTATGATCTGCAAATATTTGTTTCGGGGATTTGGGGGTTTTCTATAATATGAATGTATTTACAAAAAAAAAGTATTTAAGTATTCTATCAGACAATCTAGATTTCATAGTATACACTCTGCTTAGTTTGAAACTAGGTGGCGTTGTGTGTCAGATGTCCGAATTATTATTATTATTATTATCTATAAAATTTATCAATCTTTTGTTTTAGTTTCAGAAACTGACCACGCCAAACGATGTGTCAACGGCAAATCCTACTAAATTTGACTTTCGTCATTTCCAACCACAAAATCCCAAGGCAGTAGGCGCCCCTTACTATGTAGAAGAAATTCGTCCAAAAAAGACCCTCAGCCGTACACCCAACTTCCATTTACCAGGTATTTTAGGGTCTGAGTTCTACACTCAAGACTCCCAATATAAACAACTACGACCAAAACCTGTCACCTCCACCCCTGAACCACTACTGAACGTATATAAAGAGCAATTTAACTTTGGCCCGTTTATACCGATTGCCTACAACCAGCAGCAACCGCCAGTTAAAGTCAAACCTGAAGAATTAGGCTTTGACTACGAAAATCAAGAAGGTAGCCGAGAAGATAAGGAGCAGGGATTAGACAAAGCTACAACAACTTACAGAAATGAAAAGCCAAACAACCCATATATTGACGCAAAGGTACGTTAGACGATTCTTTAATAATTTATAAAAGAAGTATTAAACCCCTTATAGTTTTCTAAATTTTATTTTTGAATTTTCAACTTTGAAATATTTTGTGTTAAAATTACAAGTCTAACTTTTATTTAAACATATCCAACACAATTATGGTAAATCTACCTTCTACGAAACTATATTATAAAAATACAAAGTTTAATATATTATTTATTTAGAAATATATTTTTGTTTTCAGACATACCACGCTCATCCAGATGGAGCCATAAGTTACACACGTTTTATTCACAATCAAGCTATTTTGGATGCACAACCTGATTCCCAGATCTTATACAATATACCTCCTAAAACACAGCAACAAACTTTCGGACCAGAACTCGGTCAAAGAGAGAACATTAATGTTCCTGAGCCACCATCGTCCAAGCCCAGTAATGGTATAGCTCCTCAACAGTATGTGCCAGTTTCGCAGACGCTGCGACAGTTTCACCAACCACTTATTAAACCAGCACCTTTCCAAAGTAGATTTCATCTAGAAAATTTATCGGGTTCACAATTTGCTATTCCACAAAGTCCACGTCGTCCCGTATATTATTTACATCCAATAGGGAACTCGCTTAGTGAAATTCGACCAAGTCTTGCTTCGGAATCTTTAGATCAAGCTACAAATAATTCTGTTGCCGGAGATACATTTGTACCTTCTGCGCAACAAACATTAGAACCTACACAAACTAGATTTACAGCTCAACCGAATTCTCAAGACTCACTTCCAGTACTACGTCATTACACACCTTTACCTGCTGCAATAACATACTATCAGTCGGTCGCGCCTTTAAGCAAAGACCCGGTTACCTTACAACCACAAATTCAGAATACACCAAAATCTCCACCATCTAGCGACCAAGTTTTACAGTCGACAACTAGGCAACCTGAAACTATAAGCGATACTCCAAGAGATGTAAATGCAGAACCAAAATATAAATCTCAGGAGTCAACTTCTTTAACTTCACCAACATTGCAATCCTTTCTTGAATCACCTGCGACTTTACTATCTATATCGTCCCCGCAACCAACTAAACATTACTTACCTTCAACACCACGAACAGAAATACTAACATCTGCCCAACAAACACATGTTCAAGCTACACCACATGACCAAGTTCAAATACAACAGCAGAACCTTCAGGAGATACATTCAGAACTAGCACCTGAAAGACAAGATAATGCCCAGCATTTAAAAAAATTAACTCAAGAAGACCACCAATCCTTGCCACCTACACCCGAATATGTTCCAACCACGCCACTGCCTACTGAGAAATCTAGCCCGGACTACGAAATAGAAATTGCATCCCATATTGATCATAATCAACTGCCTAAAGACCTCCAGCCAGTGACAACAGCACAACCAACAAATGATCTGGTAGAAAATCGTGGACAGCAAGTTCAACAATTCTATTCACCGAATAACACATACATATTAGCAAGACGACCTTACATTGTACCTATCCAATCTTTCGGAGAACCACCTTCATACCAGAATATAAACTACCATGATCCTAATTCTCTTTTCCTCGGTCAATCTCTAGCAACAACTCAACCTTTTATTCAGCCTGGAGCCTTTTCCAATGTCCAAGAATTAGTGTTACAACCGCATTTTCAACAAACATCTAGTTTTCCCCCGGTACAATACTATGGCAAGTATGCTCAGTCTATATTTGGTGGAGTTTGATTTCGATTAAAATTAAGATAAATGCAAAAAAAACGAAGTGGAGGTGTTAATTATCTGTAAGTAATAAAATTATTAGAATTTTTTGATGAGATTGTAATACTCAAACTAAATACAATATGTATTAAATGAAAATAGTTAGAAAGTAGTCACCTTAATACTTAATACATTTTATATCATAAATTTATCCTGTCTTATCCGTGTGGTCCTATTCATCCCGTGGGTGTCGTCAGAGCCGACTAAGGGAGAAAACTACGCAGGACAACAGCATTCCAAAGAGAAGGAAAACTTGATACAAACCCTATACCAAACTGTCTGGCCAGCGTGGTATAGTATGTCAAAACCTACTTTCTAAGGAGAGGCCTATGTCCAGCAGCGGACTAGTAAAGGCTGTTGATGATGATGATGATATCTTATCTGATATAGGCTAACGACAATAATTAGAAATAGTATCTAGTGTTTTTAGAAGTAAGTTTAATGTAATGATGTGCTGATAAAATGGTGCGTGCTGAACTGTGATGCCATAAATGAATTAAATGATTTTTTTAAGTAAATGATTGAAATGTAAATGTGTTTTCTTGAAAGTTATGATAAAACTTTTAATATTCTGAAGAACGCCTTAGGAATCTACATTCTGATGTTGGGTACTTATTGTTGACAGATACATTTATCATTAAAAATTCATGTAGCCGTTACAAGCACGGGGAAAGCCGTGTAGCTTCAAATTATTCTATTTAGATTTCTTAATAGCAGTAGCAAAAAAAATTCTTAACATTCCTGTTGGTCTAGTGATTAGTGTCCCTGTCTGCTAAGCCGAAGGTCGTGGGTTCGATTCCCACCCAGGAAAAGTGCACGATCATTTGTTCTGTGTCTGGGCGTGATTCATCTACTCGTATAATAAGAATGAATTTAGAAAATTTAAGTATTTTGATCAGCAGTCTGGTTACCAAAACACAGGCTCTGTCTATTTTGGGATCAGAATGCCGCAGATCGTGTGAGATGTTTTTTTTTATTATTATTAAATGTGGGTTCTTTGAATGCTCGATAAAGGGCATCAGGAAGTAGCCGGGTCATTAGCTATTGACGGAGACATCAAGGTAAGTGACTTTTACACATCAAAAGTTAATAAGTTAGAAAAAATCAGTACCGCCATCTATGTGACGACACCGTAAATATTTTTATTGTTATTTACTATTGAAATTATAAGTATAGTTTCTACCAACAAACACCCGATAAAGTACGTGATGAAACAAAAACAGTCAATATAAATACGAACTTATTAAAATAAAACACACTTTTTTTTATTTGTAAAATAACAGAAAAATAAATACAAACAATTATGTGCTCGCCTTGTTGTTCAATCATTGTGCCCCCCCCCCACTTAATATCTTCGCAATTTCCTTTGCTCTTCACGCCGAATCAAAAATAATAAGCCTTCATTTTATTACAAAACAACGAAACTTTTCATCTTGTCGCAATTATAATTTGCTTTTGACGTTGTCACGTCAGCACGGCTCGGGCCCAAGGTGACATTCAAAGTAATGTCAACACATGTTGGGAATATTTTACACTTTGTTTTATTTTCGTATCATGCAAAACAAAGGATGTATAAATATATATTATGATGTCCGTGTGGTGACGGATTAAGAATACGGAATGTCACCATCCGTATTCACCCCGTGGGTGTCGTAAAAGCCGACTAAGGGAGCAAACTACGCAGGACAACAGCACTGCAAAGAGAAGGTAAACTTGACACAAACCGTCTGGCCAGCGTTGTATAGTAGCCCAAAGCTTTCTTTCTAAGGAGTGGCCTATGTCCAGCAGTTGACTGTTAATGTGATTATATCCCTTTTTACTGTCAACTTTCATGCAACCCTGGCATTCTGCCGCAGAAGTGTGTCACATAGACATAGAGAATAGACTGAGCGTCATCCTACGAAAAGTGACCAACTCTCTAGAAAGAGACAAAGCGAATGTACGGCCTATCTCTTTTCTGCAATTTTTTACTTATTACGGTAGTATAATATGAACTGAACAAGTTTGGCTACTTTTCTTAACTTAACAAAGATAATCTACTGTAATTTATATAAAATATTTACACTTGATATTTATAACCTTACTTATTTGGAAACTTATCCAGTGACGTGAACCAACCGAACATTCGCTTTGTCTCTCTCGTACTTTTGTGTCTGTATTCACTGCACAACTGACAAGGAACGCGCAGTCCATTTCTCTATGTCTATGGTGGGCAACAACAACAGCGTACCTTTTTGTTCTTGACTTGACTTACGAGTTTCATTACAGTCTACTCTTCTATGGAAAGTGTAAATGAGCACGCGACAACGATAACTTCGAACTACTGCAGTTTCAGTCCTGTTTTTTGATCTAAGATGTGCGGGTACGGGTAATCCCTTACACCTACCTTTTTCACCCTTCATAAAAGGTTGGAGAAAAAATAGAAGGTCAGCCATTAAAAACCGTCAAAGCCTAGTGCAATTTTACACATTTTTTTCTTTTTGAAAAGACAACGCCCGCATTAGGAATATATCCTGTGTCGCGGGGGACTTTACAAACATACATAAAACGGACACAAAGAACACCCAGACTCAGAACAACAATTTGATGATCACACAAAGTGTCATCCCATGTGGGGTTTGAACCCACAACACTCAGTTTAGTAGGAAGCGGCGTGGCGACCGCTTATACCACGACGCCATCCGTGCAGTCAACATTGCGTTGACCCCAAATTAAGTAAACAGAAGGAGAGAATTTGTTATATAGTTTAGAAATACTACTAAGAAAGCTAAAATTTTGAGAAAGGATTTATACTATTTAACATCACGCCACAACAGTTAGGAGCGGACCAGTGGTCACAGACGGATATTGAGATAATAGAGGATTCGTTGAGGAATGTTATTAGTCGGGTTGTCAGAGGTTTTCATTTCGATTCTGGATGGAATTTAATGAAATCTGGCGGGAACTGAAGGTCATTGCCCACATTATGACCCATTAAAAAAGTTAGAAGGGGAGGACAGGATTTACAGCGTTCTAATCTTTCAAATTAAGAACTTTTGCAATAGATTGCCTAATTGCTTTTGAAAAAGCGGACCGAATGCATTTTGTTAACAATACTCATACCTATTTAATACATAATAATATTAACGATGAAAAACGATTTATTTCTCATTTTTATTATATTTTTGTTTTTCGCTTTTTTTCAACTTTGCCGCATGTTTTCGGTAGGAATAAAAATCCAACTCATTAAAATACTTAATACCTACGTAAAATCATCAGCTGAAGAACGTTTGGATTCAATTTTTTTTTGCTACAATGCTTTATTACCGAGATAACTGAAAAAAAAACGGTTAAAGTTATTTTGCAATAAAAAATTATCTTCCCGACCTCATCCGTTGTTTTTTTTAAAAGGTCATTATGTGGGCAATTACCTTCAGTTATAAATTCCATCCAGAATTGAAAAATACTATTTTTCAATTCTGGATGGAATTTATATTAATATTTTAATATTTTATTATTTTAATATTTTTTGAACCTCTGACACTCCGACTATATAGGCTACTAACTGACCCACCGAACGATTTTTTTTCTACATATATTTTCAAAGAGTAGGAGTGTGTAAAATACCATACGACCTATTCTTATACCTACCAAATAAACACTTAAATTTTATAAAAATCGGTAGAGCCGTTTCGAAGGAGTGCAACCACAAACATGATACGAGATTTATATATTAGATAAAACATCATGATACGGCTTTAAAGAGTGGAGCTGTGACGATAAACGCAAATGGTAAACCTGTGATGTTACATTTTCCTCTTGAAGATTTTCTGCTTCCTATTTCCTACGAAGACTCACAAAGCAGACACGGCAATATCCAATAATTCTCACACAACGGCGCTCTCGTAAGCGAAAAATATAAAGATAAGCAAATATAAAAAATAATGGCTACATCAACACGTTATCAGCGTCCAAACAAAAGATTATGTCTTTAAGGTTAACACTCATTATATAAAAATGTCAGAATACAATATCTTTTCGTAAGATAAGGAAATTTGATTTAAATTTCCGTATTATAGCGAACAAGCTCTGTGTGTGATTCTTAAATTTATAAGTTTTTTTACATTACATACATTTATTTAATACGCCGTGGCTACGCCCGCGTGTCGTTTATCGTGGTAAAAAGTAGCCTATGTTACTCGCTGATAATGTAGCTTTCCATTAGAGAAATAATTTTTAAAATCGGTTGATTGGTTTATGCGTAAAAGTGTAACAAACAAACAAGCAAACTCATCTTCTCATGGTAAATATACCCAAGCCACATTCTAACCCTTGAAATGGAGATCATACTTAAAGTGTATATAATCTCAGCCTAGATAAAACTGTGCTTTGCAAAAATGCTTTAAAACTAAGTCTGCTGACCAGTGATATGGTTGGTAGTGATTAAAATGACAGAAAAGTATAGGGATTAGTTAATGAAACATTTTTTTCTGAATTTTTTAGCTTAATTTGACCTATTCCAACAATTAGTGATACATTATGATAATATATTAAAATGGATACACCTTTTGCCACATTATCCTTGATTCTACTTTTCATTTATAGCTAAATTAACATGTTTTCTTAATATCATAAAACTACGTTACCTTTTTTTTCACACGGGAAATGGTTTTCGCACCATACCCGCCGTTTGGGAAACGCAGGGCATGTGTGGGACTCCCGGCAAACCGGTCTACCTACTAACCCCCGCGGCGGCCTACCTCGGCAGTTGGGTGGAGCTCCAGGAACGCATCGGCAAATTTTGGAATCCTCCCTGCCGTACCCCATATCTGAGGCACATCCTGGGGACCGTAGTCACCCTGGGCAGGAAGCCGTTACCTAGGTTAAATAACAAAGAACACCAAGTCAATACTGTGTTGTAATTCTAGAAGATAACCTCATAGTTTCGCATTTATGTGTTATTGCCATTCTGAAATAACAAGGCGCTG